AGTCTGGAGTTAAGAAATGAAGAAGTCTTTCAACAGCAGATGAGATGAGACAGGGCAGAGTTGGATAGTGTTATTGAAGTTTTTTTTTACCTTTATTCATTCACGGGATGAGGGCATCGCTGGCCAGGCAGTATTTATTGCCCATCCCTAATTGCCCAGAGGGCAGTTTGGAGTCAACCACATTGCTGTGGGTCTGGAGTCACATGTAGGCCAGACCAGGTAAGGATGGCAGTTTCCTTCCCTAAAGTGCTCAGTGAACCAGATGGGTTTTTCCCAACAATCGACAATGGATTCGTGGTCATCATTAGATTCTTAATTCCAGATATTTATTGAATTCAAATTCCACCATCTACCATGGCAGGATTTGAACCCAGGTCCCCAGAACATTATCTGGGTCTCTGGATTAATACTCCAGTGATAATAGCACTAGGCCATCACCTCCCCATGTGAAAATATGCAGCTTTAGTGATGGAATGTTACATGAAGCTTGAACATGATATAGTTCATTCTGAATCAGGATCTTAAATCTGAGCAAAGGAAACTATTGATGCTATGAGAGGCAAGTTAGCTCAGGTGAATTGGGAAACTATATGAAATGAAAAATAGGCAGTCAATGGCCAGTATTGAAAGAAATATTACAAGGTTTCAATAATACAACAGATATTCATTCCTTTTACTCAAACAACAAAGGGAAAAGTGAATCAACAATGGTTAACAAAAGAAGTTGTAGATTTCATTAGGTCAAATGAAGTGGCTTATAAAAATGCCACAAAAATGGTAATTCTGAGGATTGGGACCAATTTAGGACCAAGCAAAGGGAGATCAAGAAAACTGTAAGGAAAGGAAAAAGGGAATAATGAATATAAAGGCAGATTGGAAAACTTTCTCTTGTTATGAGAAAGTAAAAAGACTGGTACAGGAGAATTTATAGTGCAGAACTGGGAAATGGCAGGGAAATTTAAACGATTATTTTCAGTATGTCCACATGGAAGACGACACTTCTGGAAGATTTTTTGTATTAGGTGTCGAAGAGACTTGTTTAACTGAAAAGCAAAAACAAAGTTTCCTAAATCGCTTGGACCTGATGATTTTCAGCTGAGAAAGTTGAAGGAAGTAGCAATAGAGATAATCGATTCATTGGTGGCTATCTTTTGCAATTCTGTAGATTCTGGAAACATTGCTGCTGACTGGAGAAAAAATATTAGAATCTATATAGGGTATGATTATTGAATATTTAGAAAAGAATGACAAAAAAGAGTGGAATCAACATGGATTTTTAAAAGGTAAACCATATTTGACAAATTTATTCAAGTATTTTTAGGATGTTATTTGTAGCATAAGCAGGGGAGAACTAGTGGATGTGGTATATTGTGGAATTTTCACAAGCTTTTGATATGGAGGATGGTAAATAAAATTTAAATACATGGGGTAGGAGCACTACTGTATGCATTGAGAAATGGCTGATAGACAGAAAGCAGAGCGTAGAAGTAAATGGATCATTCTCAGGATGGCAGGCTATTTCTAGGGACGTAATGCAAGAGCAGTGATAGGACCACAACTGTTCACAATCTATACAAATGATTTGGGTGTGGGAAACAATTGTAATAATTCCTAATTTGCTGGTGACATCAAACTGCATGGGAATACAAGTTGTGAGGGATGTGTAAGGTTGTTTCAAGAAAACTTGGACGGGCTAAAATGAGCGAGTTAGAAGATGGCAGATAGAATATAACATAAAGGAGTATGAAGTTATTTATTTGGGTAGAAAAAACAAAAAGACAAAAATATCATTAAATTATGAGAGGTTGGGAAGTGTAGGCATCCCAAGGGATCTAGAGTCCTTTCCATGAGTTACCAAAAGCTAGCAGGCAGGTACCACAAGCAATTGGGAAGCAAATGATATGTTGGAATTCATTTTTGAGGAGCTTTGCATACAGAAGATGACTTTCAATAGTTGGATAAAGCCACAGTGAGCCTTTATGTGGGTATTGTGGACAGGTTTAATCTCCTTGTGTAAGGAAGGATATACTTATCCTGATGTTTATATTTATACTTATCCTTATATACTTCTCTGGGAGGCAATGGACTAGTGGTATTATCGCTGGACTGTTAATCCAGAGACCCAGACCGCAGATGTTCTGGGGACCCGAGTTCAAATTCCACCACGGAAGATGGTGGAATTTGAATTCAATAATAATCTGGAATTGAGAGTTAAATGATGACCATGAAACCATTGTTGATTGTCAGGAAAAACCCATCTGGTTCACCAATGTCCTTTAGGGAAGGAAATCTGCCATCCTTACCTGGTCTGGACTACATGTGAATCCAGAACCACAGCAATGTGGTTGACTCTTAGGCAGTTAGGGATGGCCAACAAATGCTGCCTAGACAGCGATGCCCACATCCCATGAATGAATAAAGGACTTATCATAGACAGAGTACAATGGTGGTTCGCCAGATTAATCGCTGGGATGATGTGATTGTCTTATGAGGAGAAACTGAAAAACCCAAGTCTCTATTCGTGGCCATTTTGAAGGATGAGATGTGATTTTCTTGAAACTTAAAATTCTTACAGATCTTGACACATCGATATGAATAGGATGTGTCCCCTGTCTGGTGACTCTAAAACCAGGGGACGTATCTCAAGATAAGAGACAGGTCATTTAAGACTGAGACGAGAAGGAATTTATTTACTTGGAGACTGGTGAATTTTTGGAATTGTCTACCCCAGAGGTTGTAGAAGCTCAAACAATTGAGCAAGTTCAGCAGAGAAATTGATAGGTTTCTGGAGAATAATATCATTAAGAGATATGGGCATTGTACAAAAAAGCAGCATTTAGAAGATGAACAACCATTATCTAGAATTAGGTTCTGATGTGATAGGCTGAGTGGCCTATTCTTTTACCAATGGGGTGGGTTTGCTTTTTTTTATTTCTTCATGGGATGTGGGCATTCCTGGCCAGCAGCATGCTCTGGAGAGGTGGTGATGGGCTGTTTTCTTGAGCAGCTGTAGTACCTTTGGTATATGAACACTGTGTCACTAGAAAGGGTGATCCAGAATTTTGACAGAGTGACATTGGAAGAACTGCAACATTGATATAGCTAGGCCATTGTGCAGCCCAGAGTGGAACTTTCAGGTGGTGTATTCTGCATCCATCTGCTGTCATTTGTTCTTCCAGGTGTTTGAGGTTATGGATTTGAAAGGTGATCAATTATTTCTGCAAATCTTGCAAATAGTACACACTGCTGCCATTGTGTCTCAATGGTGAAGGGAATGAATGTTCAAAGTAGTGGATGTGGTGTCATCAAGGGAGATGCTTTTTCCTATTTGGTGTCAAGCTTCTTGAGTGTTTTTACAGCGACATCTATCCAGGCAGGTGGATAGTATTCCACCATGCTCCTGACTTGTGCTTTGTAGATGATGGTCAGACTCAGGGAGACAGAAGGTAATTACCAGCCACAAAATTCCCTGATTCTGATCTGAATCTGTAGCCACGAAACTCTATGGCTAGTCCAGTTCAGCCTCTGGTCAATGGAAACCACCCCACCCAGGATATTGATAATAGAGAATTCAGCGAGGATGGTGCCAGTGAATATCAAAGAATGATGTTTAGATTCTCTCTTGTTAGCGATGGTTATTGCCTGGCACTTGTGTGAATGTTACTTAGCACTTAATCCATGCCTGCCCACTGACCAGCTTTGCTGCATATGGACATGGACTGCTTCAGTGTCTTTATCTCCTTGGAAGCTCATTTTGGTTCCAAATATTATACCAAAAATTGTAAACATACTGGTTCACCCTCAGACGATTAGCTGGAGAATGACTGGAATTGGTGGCTGTGGAAGAGAGTTTGTGGTGGGGACCAAAGGCAATGCCTTTGTCTTCCTGATGTTTCTTTGTAGGAAACTGCTGTTCATCTAGTATTGGCTATCAAGCAAGTATATCTGTGCAGTGACAAAAAAAAACTAACCTGTTTGAGTGTATTCTGACACACTTGCTCAAGAAATAGGACTTGAACCCAGACCTTATGGCTCTGATTTTAATTGCTGCATCATTGGTGACTGTACCTTTAGCTGCCAATGTCCTAAATACTGAAAGTCCCTTGATACTCTCTGCTTCTCACCCTTCATGAATTATAATTGTTCAAGCAAACCTTTCAGCATGTGCAGTCATGTTCCTGTGAAGTGCTTTGGGGCATTTCAATATGTTAAAAGGACCAACTAAATACAAGTTGCTCATTCCAAGCATGCCAGCTCTTGATAATTGATCAATAAATTTACAATTTCTGAGTAGTTTACACCCCATAGACTCTGGATTTTACAACTGCTATTGCTGAAAGGTCAGAGGTGAGGCTTTAGATGCGGATGGGAAGTTTGGCTGGAGCTAACAAAGCAAGGGCAGGAGTCTCAGTTGTTCTTATTGTCCGATAAGACCTGGACAGGAAAGATGAGACAGAATTTTTGTTTTTTTAAATTACGGTTTGATGATCTGTATGATGAAGCACCTACAGAATTGAATTTGTTTGTGTGTGCATACATGTGTGTTATGTGCAGAAAGACGGTGTAAAGAGGATTTTATTTATCTGTGATGCCATCTTGGCTAAAAGCTGTTTGAAGGTCTGCTGAAAAACTAGTTAAACTATTAACCATCGGCAAGAAATGGTGTCAAAAATTGGAAGAAGTTGGAAAAGCGGAATAGTTGAAGAAGTAACTTCCAGATGGAGGCAATAGTCTGTGGTATTATGGTGAAACTATTAATCCGGAGACTTTGTTAATGTTCTGATTTGATTTGATTTATTATTGTCACTTGTACATAGATACAGTGAAAAGTTTTGTTTTGCGTGCAGAACAGGCAGATCATACCATTCGACATGCATAGGGCAATAGAACAGAGTGAGGAATACAATGTTACAGCTGCAGAGAAGGTGCACAGGGAGAGAGAAACATTAAAATTAAAATTTGAGTCCATTCAGAAGTCTAATAACAGTGGTGAAGAAGCTGTTCTTGAATTTATTTGTGCGTGTATACAAACGTTTGTATCTTCTGCACAACAGAAGAGAGTATAACCAGATTGGGAGGGTCTTTCATTATGTTGGCTGCTTTTCCAAGGCAGCAGAAGGTATAGATGGAGTCAATGGATGGAAGGGTCACTCAACCTGAAATGTTAACTCTGATTCCTCTCCATAAATGCTGCCAGACTTGCTGAGCTTTACCACTGGATGGAAGGCTGGTTTGCATGATGGACTGGGTTGTGTTCATGGCTCTTTGTAGTTTCTTGTAGTCTGGGGAAGAGCAGTTGCCAAACCACACTGTGACGCATCCAGATAGAATGCTTTCTACCCTGCACCCTGGGTTCAAATTCCACTATGACAGACAGATAGTGTAATCTGAATTCAATTTTTTAAAAAAAAAAATTGAATTAAAAGTCGAATGACAATCGTTTCATGATCGTTGGGAAAATCCATCTGGGTCACTAACGTCCTTCAGAGAAGGAAACTTCCATCCTTACCTAGTCTGACCTACATGGGACTCCAGTCCCACAGTGATTGACTCTTAACTGCCTTCTGGGCAATTAGGGATGGACAATAAATGCTGGCCGAGCCAGCGATGCCCACATCCTGTAAATGAATATAAATAAAGGGGAAAAAAGAATTGGACAGAGCTGCCAGGGCCACAATGGACTAAATGGCCTCCTACATTGGTGACAGCATTTGTTTCAGATGTGCCAGGATAACAGATAGAAATTCAATTTTTAAAAAAAACCCAAGTATTTTCAGACGCATCTTTCTAACATACAGTGTTCTGACACCGACATTTACCAGTTGGTAAGGTTTTTAAACCAAGTGTTTTGAAAGATGGTAAAACTCCTGATTTTATATCAAGACCCTTGATTTACGAGACGGTGGAGTTGGCATTATTGTTGCAGTTGGAGCTGTTTCTTTTTGTTTTGTTTACCGCTGAAACACGACCCACGGCTGCGGTATCTCCCATTCCCGCCAGCACTGCAGGAGTCTGCAGCAACTCAGACAGTGCAACATCGCCGCTTTAAGCAGAAACTGTCCCCTTTGCGCTGTCATTCATTCCGACGTAAATTCCAGGCCTTGGCGGTTTCCATGGTTTCTGGCATCACGTGTAGCTGGGAGTCGGTGAGTCTTGTGAAAGATGTTGCGAATTATATACAGCACTCAGCCATTGAAAACTGGTAAGGGATAGCCCGGGGGGGGGGGAGGGGGGGAGGGGGGGGGGGGGGGGGTGTGGGGGATAGATAATGACAGTTTAACTCAGCAAAGCGGTATCCCCCCCAGCAATATATCAGGGTCAACTCTGTCCTTCACATTGCAGTCACCATTTGGGACTATTCAGCAAAAGAAAAGTTATTGTTGCTACACATATACGTTGTATTTTTTTTTCTTGTTTGTAGTAGCTAACTCGCTGTGCATCGCAGCATAGGGATGAGCATTAAAATCCCGGCTGGTTTGACAGACTTGCTGCAGAGCTTCACTGTGGAGGTGTTGAGGAAGCAGCCGGCCGATCTGGTCGAGTTCGCCGTGCAGTACTTCAGCAAGCTGCAGGCGAGCCAGAAGCTGCCCTTCGCCCATGGCAAGAACGGCAGCGGCGGCCCTTTCCGAGCCGCCAAGGCGGTCAACTTCGCCGACGAGCCAATGCAGACCGACTCGGAGAACGGCGACGAGGACGAGGAGTTCGAAGGTACGGTCGTGTAGATGTTCATTTCAAACTTTTTTGTTTATGTCAGTGTCTTCGAACTTATTCCTTCCTCTCTTTGGGTTTGCTGTGAACTGTCCGAGAGGGCTTTGAGGATGAGAAGGGGATACCTCCCCCCCCGCCCCAAGTATTTGCGGATAATGGGAAGCGCAATAGTTACTCTTTCTTTCTTCCTCAGATGGAAGGTCTAAAACATCCAGGCCAGCTAGTGGACACCAGCTTCACACAAGATTCTTCCCATTCCTAACGCTCTCTAACATATACGATGGTCCGAATGACTGCTTTGTGTATATGTTAAATGGAGTTAGGAGTGGGAGGAGTTTGGGTCTGGCATTGATCAGCCGGAGCGAATGGCCCGTGGCTGTATTTAAATTCCACATAATTGGTTTTGTCTAAGGGTGGCCTCAGTAATTGGGGTCCCGGGTACCAAAGAACACAATTTTAATCTTCAGTTACAAAATTAACATTTGGCCTGGAACATTTTACTTTACTTTGGGGGTAAAAACACATGATGAAAATGAACAGTGGTGGCTAGGGTTCTGTTGCTGTTTGAACATTTTGAAGCTGTTTTCAGTGTTGGGTAAGTTGGGGACAGTGATTAATTAATATACAACTCATTGAAAGTAGACTGTGTACCCTGCTGGGTAATGGTTTTTGATATATTTATGTTTTTTTAAGAAAATGGAATGCCTAATTTGGAAACAGTGTGAGGAACAAACTGAGAAAGAAGGTCGATTAAACAATTAATTGAAATACAGCAATGTGAAAAGTTCAGTTCATGCAGCGATCACACAGTTATAAACCTTTTGATTTAACATAAATCATTAATGTATACTGCCATCCTGTATATTAAAGTCAGTACCTCAGCATCTTGCTCGATACTATTAGTTTATTGCTGTTCTTTCTGCTGCTCTGCCCATAACTCAGCTCCCAGGCCCTGAGGAGAGACCCAAGTTATATCACTGTATCTTCCTGTCATCATGTTGTGTAGAGTTCTTTGCTACTCTGCATATATGTTTCAGCTGGCACTGTTTGTTTTCATAATGTGTATCACACAGTGTCTTGACAGAGGAAAATGTGTGTAAACTTCTGCATAGCGCCACCTTTACTGGTGTACCTAAAGTTTTTCATAGGGACTGGAGAAATTGTGGAGGCAACACAATCTTTGGTTGTGAATTTAAGAAATAAATATCTGTAATTTAGCAGGGAGCCAGCAGTTCAGGAGGTATGTTCACTAATAATGAATTGAGCTTTGTGCCTCAAATTTTATCAGTAAACATGGGAACTCTTTATAAGTAACTGGAAGTTAGAGGTTTAGCAAGAAGTGGCAAACTATTTCAACCTCATTCAATTTAATATCTGATAAATGTTCCAATCAGTTATGTGTAGTTGGAAGCAAATAATATGACAAAATGGATCAGCTAATCTCCTAAAGAAATGGATGAGGACAGTTGAGACCAAGTGTTGTCTTTAAATGGCAGGAATCAATATTCCCTATTTCAAAATAACAAATGTAGAATTTATTATATTTGTATAATACATCACATTTTTTTTATTCTAACCGTTTTTAATTTTTTTCTCACTCGCTAATCTTCTGCCAGTGTTAATATTCCAGTGTCTCTGAGAATGTTTTCGTATTCTATTTGGTCATAGGAAATTATTTTACAAAGTCGACTCAAAATGAATGCTGGTATAATGTTTATATAATACAAGCAATGTGGAAACGTTCCAAGGCACTTCACAGGAGCATATTGGCAGGTGAAATTGAGTTGGAGGAGCTAACAGGAAGCTGATCAAAGGTTTTTGCAAAGAGGTCAATTTTTTTTACGCAGGATAATGAAGAGGAGGCAGTATCGGGGCATTATCAGGGTGCTAATTATATCATATCTTGGATCGGTAGAGCATTGGATGCACATTGCTGGTCTAATTTTAATGCTGTTTTTGCATATGTGGCTGAACCTGATTAAAAATGACAAGACAGATGTCCTCGAAGTTCACTGATCAGATCAGCCATTGCCACATGTTACACTCCTGTAATTCCAAATGTCATTTTGCCATCTGCTTATTTTAGCACAAAGTTTAGACGTTTCAGTCAAGCTGTTCTCATTTTGGTTACAGTATATAATAACTGGTGTCAACCTGTTAGTTTGCTACTCAGATGACCCAACTTCTCTGCCTACTCATTATTGTTTTTTTGGAATAAAAGCAAATGTAGATGTTAACCATATTGTTTTGTTTTAAAAATCAATCACAGTCATGAAATAAAAAAGTGGAATTTTTGCTACATCATCAGTAGTCAATGCATTTTGAAACACTTTCATAACAACATCGTCTCATTCTTGTAATAATTTTCTAACTTTATTTTACTTTCTTCTGTTCTTCAGCCTATCTTTCCCAGTACTTCCAAAACTCTGGAATTCATCTGTTGTATTCCTATAATTTAATTTTTATTTTGTTTTAATCATCTTTTACTTGTTTTTCCAAATTTGATCTGTAGCCTTCAAACTGTTGCCTGATTTCTACTTCCTTTTTTAAAAAAAGTTATTGGTGAGCCTCTCTGCTCCTATGATGCTGCTTGGCCTGCTGTGTTCATCCAGCCCTGCACCTTGTTGTCTCGGATTCTCCAGCATCTGCAGTTCCTACTATCTCTTATTGGTGAGTTAGTTGAACTGGGCCAGTGCCAATGGAGTTTCAGCACTGTGTGAATGGAGTGTCTCTGACTTACCAGAGCAGAATGCTGTTCACTGTTTGTGCAGGCTACTTTGGGAGTTCCTCCTCATATGATCTGGGGGCAGACAGTGGCATTGTGGTAATGTCACTGGATGAATAATCCAGAGCTCAAGGCTAAAGCTGTGGAGATATAGGCAGTTGATGAAATTTACATCAATTAATAAATCTAGAATATAAAGCTCATCTAAGTACTGTAATAATGATGATAGCATCTAAAATCCTGTCTGATTTGCTAATGCCTTTAAGGAATGAAATCTGTCATTATTTTCTAATTTGTCCCAAGTGTGACTCCAGGTCAAAAGCAACGTGGTTGACTTTTTAACTATCCTCAAAAGCAACTGAATTTAAGGGCAATTAGAGATAGGTAACAAATGCTGGCCTAATGAAGAAGGACTGCATCCCTTTTTGGAAGAGAATGTTTTGCAAAGAGTACTGAAGTGATTACATGAAGGCAACGTTTGATTGAATGTGGCATTAAGGAGCCCGAGAAAAACTGGAGCCAGTGAAATTGGAGAGGGGAACCCTCCACTGGTTGGAATCATGCCTAACACAAAGGAAGATGGTCATGCTTATCAGTCATCAATCATTTCAGTCCCAGGATATTGTTATGAGTTCCTCACGGTAGTCAGCTGGGCCCAAACATCGCCAGCTGCTTCATCAATGGCCTTCCTTCTATGAGGTAAGAAGTAGAGAGGAATTGTCCACCAACATTCAGTACTGGATGTGGCAAGACTACAGAACTTTGATTTGATCCATTGATTTTTGCTACCTCTTCTGCTAATTGGCGTTCAGGTAGTCCAGTGTCATAACTTCACCAAGTTGGGGCCTCATCTTTGGGTTTGCTTAGTGTTGCTCCTTAAATGCACTCCTAAACCCGTCCTTCGTATTAGGCGATAAGACAATTTTGCTACATTTATGTTGAGACTGGACCGAGCTAACACTGGATTCAATGAACAGTTTTAAATTTCCCATTGCATCCAATTGTGCGCAGCATTTAGTATCACCCAGAAATAATGTTTATGAAACTATGTACCTTCTTAAAATAGCAAATCATCGTTTGCCTTACATTCTATGTAAATGCAACATTTTTCTATATATTAGTGCATTGCAGTACTTTACAGCTAATGAATTACTTTTGAAGTGCAATTAAGTATTTAATGCAGGAAAACGTGACACCAATTTGTGTCGTAATATATCGCAAATAGCAGCAAGATAAATCACCTATGAAATTTTTAATTGATGTTAATTGTGGGCTAAATTTTACTTGGAACATTTGAGAACTCCACATTAAGTCATACTTGCAGATCTTTTCTGTCTAACTGCATGATTTAATGACATCATAAAATGGCCTGTTTGCCATTAATTGTTACACAGACAATTCTGTATTTCTGATCAAATGTTCAGCTTTCGGATATATAACAATTTATTAAGATTAGTCCATGTTGTTGTTAACTGTTCAGAAAATTGGTTCTTTTCTGGAATCAGTTGGGTGGAAAGCAAGGGAACCAAGTCATGGGTGAGAGTCATAGAGTTGTATTGCGCGGAAACAGACCCTTTTGGTCCAACCCGTCCATGCCAACTAGATATCCAAAATTAATCTACCAAACAGGACTACTTCCAGTCCAAACAACATAAGCAGCAAGTTATACAGTTAAGCAATCCCACAACCAACAGATCAGATCTAAGCCCTGCCGTCCTGCCACATCCAGTCGTGAATGGTGGTGGACAGTTAAACAACTCCCTGGAGGAGGGGGATCCACAAATATCCCCATCCTCAACAATGGAAGAGCCCAGCACATCAGTGCAAAAGATAAGGCTAAAGCTTTCGCCGCAATCTTCAGCCAGAAGTGCTGAGTGGAAGACCCATCTCAGCCCCCTCCAGCGGTCCCCAGCACTACAAATACCAGTCTCCAGCCAATTCTATTCACTCCACGTGATATCAAGAAACTGTTTGAGATACTGGATATTGCAACAGCTATGGGCCCTGACGACATTCCAGCAAGAGGACTGAAGACTTGTGCTCCAAAATTTGCTGCTCCCTTAGCCAAGCTGTTCCAATACGGTTACAACACTGGTATCTACTTGATGATATGGAAATTTGCTCAAGTATGTCCCGTACACAACAGCAGGACAAATCCAACCCGGCCATTTACCGCCCCATCTATCTCCTCTCGATCGTCAGTAAAGTGATGGAAGGTGTCATCAGCAGTACTATCAAGCAGCACCTGCTCAGCAATAACCTGCTCAGTGATGCCCAGTTTGGGTTCTGCCAGGGCCACTCAGCTCCTGACCTCATTACAGCCTTGGTTCAAACATGGACAAAAGAGCTGAATTCCAGAGGTGAGGTGAGAGCGACAGCCTTTGACATCAAGGCTGCATTCGACCGAGTGTGACATCAAGGAGCCAGAGGCAAAACTGGGATCAGTGGGTATCAAGGGTTGGAGTCATACCTGACAGATAGGAAGATAGTTGTGGTTGTTGGTGGTCAGTCATCTCAGTCCAGGACATCTCCGCAGGAGTTCCTCAGGGTAGAGTCCTGGGCCCAACCATCTTCAGCTGCTTCATGAATGACCTTCCATCCATCACAAGGTCAGAAGTGGGGATGTTTGCTAATGACTGCACAATGTTCAGCACCATTCACAACTCCTTTAGGTACTGAAGCAGCCCGTGCCCAAATGCCACAAGATCTGGCTAATATCCAGGCTTGGGCTGACAAATGGTAAGTAACATTTGCAACACACAAATGCCAGGCTATGACCATCATGAATAAGAGACCAATCTAACCATTGCCCCTTGGCATTCAACAGTGTTAGCATCACTGAATCCCCCACTATCAACAGCCTGGGGGTTATCATTGACCAGAAACTCAATTGGGCTGGCCACATAGCTTCAGTGGCTACAAGAAACTCGGAATACTGCAGCAAGTAAGTCATCTCCTGACTCGTCCCAAAGTCTGTGCAGCACCTCCAAGGCACAAGTCAGGAGTTTGATTGAATAGTCTCCACCTGCCTGGGTGAGTACAGCCTCATCAACATTCGAGAAGTTTGACACCATCCAGGACAAAACAGCCTGCTGACTGGCACTGCATCCACTCCCTCCACCACTGACGCTCAGTTGCAGCAGTGTGCCCATCCACAAGATGCACTGCAGAAAATCACCACAGATCCGCAGACAGCACCTTCCAAACCCACAACCACTTACATCTGGAAGGACAAGGGGCAGCACATACATGGGAACACCACCACCTTCGAGTTCCCTCCAAGCCACTCACCATCCTGACTTGGAAATACATACTGCCATCTCTTCACTGCTGGGTCAAAATCCTGGCATTCCCTCCCACTGGCATTGTGGGCAACCAACAACCCATAGACTGCAGCAATTCAAGAAGGTAACTCACCACCACCTTCTCAAGGGCAACTAGGGATGGGCAAGAAATGCTGGCGAGTGAGCAACATGCACATCCCACAAATGAATAGGAACA